CCCAGATAGGCAAGGTTGGAGTGACCTTATAAAGACAATCAGTGAAATCCAACATATTACTAGAAGAAAATCTAGGGCTGGAAATGTAGTACAGCCAGCGGCTTGCCTTGCATGCCACCAACCTCCAGTACCTGTATGGCCCCCTGAGTCCCTGTAGGAGTGATTTCCTGAGTACAGAACCAGGGGTAAACCCTGAGCACTGCCAGGTGTAGATCCAAAACAACAAAAAACATCAATAAAAAAGAATCTATATGACAACCCCAATAGATGTAGAGAAAGCATGTGACAACATTCAACACTCATCAACAAATCAAACAAATACCATCCTCCCGTTGTTCATCGATTTGCTCGAGCGGGCCCAGTAACGTCTCCATTTTGAGACTTGTTGCTACTGTGTTTGGCATATTGAATATTCATATATTCATATATTCAATATTCAACTCATCCTTTAAAAAAAGAAAAGCTAATTGCAAAAAAAGGACATTCTCTCGACCAATAAAGGGTTATCTTTGAAAAACTCATTTTATAACCCTACTTGATGTAAAAAAAAAAAGGCTTTTCCCTAAGATCATGAACAAGAAAAAACTTCTACTTCTATTTCATACTGTGGTCCTAGCCATTGAGGTGGTGATGGGCACGTCAGAGACTTGTAGGGGAAAAAAATTACAAAATACCTATCTGAGAAAGACTAGTTTCCTGGGTATGTTAAGAATTCCTATAAAATGGGGCTGGAGTGATAGTACAGTGGATAGGGCGTTTGCCTTGCATGTGGCTGACCCAGTTTCAATTCCCAGAATCCCAATTACTCAAGCACCACCAGGAGTGATTCCTGAGTGCAGAGCCAGTAGTAACCCCTGAGCATAGCCGAGTGTGACCCAAAAAAGAAAAAAAAAAGAATTCCTATAAAACGGGCCAGAGACATAGTATGGGGAGTTAAGGATTTACCTTTCATGTAGCCATCACCAGTATGATCCCCAGCACCGCTGTGGTTCTCTGAGCATCACCCCAGGTTCAGAATAGCCCCTGAGCAAAGTGGGGTATGGGTCTCCCCCCAAAAAAGGGGATGGGCAAAAAGTTCCTCAGCAGCCTGGAGCAGCTTTTCATGCAGGAGACCCTCTCTCCTGGTTCTCCTGTGTGTATTCTCATCACAAGGCTTCCAGAGGAGCTCTCCCGGTCATTCCTGAGCACAGATCTGTGAGTGACCCTCAACCACTACCAGGGGTGAGCCCCCCCCAAAAAAAAACCTCTATAAAAGTAGTAAAAAAAAAACTAAGAGAGCAATTTTAAGTACTTGATGGATAATTTACAAAGGAAGATGTAGGGATGGCCCACAAGTACATTAGTCATCACGGAAATGAAAATTGAACCACAATGTGAAACCTCACACAGACACCACACGCATGTTTAAATTCAGATCGCAGCCAGATATTCACCAGGAGGTGGAGCTTCCGGAATTCGTTGCCACTGTGGGTGGCTATAGTTGCTTTGGAAACGTTAGTTAGCGTCTTACCTAAATACACCAAAGTTGGACTTACAGGTATTCACCCAAATGGTGTGAGAACATGTAGCAGCAAACATTTGTACAAGGTCTCTGTTTTATTTGTGATAGTTCAAACATTTCTAATGGCCCTGGTTTCTATCAATAGGAAGAAAATGAGTAAATTGTAGTATATGTGAACCCTTGAAAAATTAGCATGTTTATAGCACTGTAGCACTGTCCTCCCGTTGTTCATCAATTTGCTCGAGCAGGCACCAGTAACGGCTCACAACAAATTGTGAGACTTGTTGTTACTGTTTTTGGCATATTGAATACATCACGGTAGCTTGCCAGGCTTTGCCAGGCAGACGAGATACTCTCGGTAGCTTGCCGGACTCTTGGAGAGGGTCAGAGGAATCGAACCCAGGTCAACCACATGCAAGGCAAACGCTCTACCCATTGTGCTATCGCTCCAGCCCAGCATGTTTATAAAGGGACAAATTGCTAAGACATATAACATGAGTAGATTTCAGAAACAAAATACTGTACACATGTCAATGACCTTATGATTCCGCTTACATCAAGATCTCCAAGAAGCAGAGCTAGATTCTGCAAAGTCCAACAAACTTGTTGAAAAGACCAGAACAGTGATTTCTCCTGGAGGAATGTGGTGGGGTTTGCTGGGCAGTTTCGTGGAAATTCTGACCTGTCAGTGATAGTTGGTTGATTGGTTGAGTAAGTAGGTGTTTAATTTGTAAAGGCGCACACATCAGAACTCAGTGGTACCTTAAAATTCATGCACTTGGAGCCAGAGAGGCAGCACAGTGTGAGACTCTTGCTTTGCACCTGGCTGACCCGGATTCCATCCCCAGCACCCCATAGAGTCCCTAAAGTTCTGCCAGTAGTGATCCTGGAGCACAGAGCCAGGATTCAGCCATGAGCGCTACCAGGTATACTCCCAAAACAAAAAGATTCATGCACTTTATACAATGTATGAACATTTTGCCTTAAGAGACCCCACCTGTAAATATATATTGATCTCCAGTAAATGATAAAAGGAAAGAGGGGTGGGGCAGGGTGGTGAAAGGGGGTGTGTACTGATGTTCCAGCTTATTTCAAATAAGATGGGCTAATGATGGGAAAAGTATGTAGAGAACTACGTAATAAAGCAAGTGCCATAAAATGTTGGTTGTCGAATCTAAGTGGTGGACATAGAAGCGTTCGCATACAATGCACACAGCCTTCTGCATCACTTAAGTAAATGTTTGATTTGCAAAAGCGCATACATTTATCAGAACCCAATGGTCAATGGTTGGAATCTACCATAAGTGTGTGCGTGGGGGAAGGGGAGGGCAGAGGGTAGGTAAGATAGAGAAGGGACCAGTATGACAATAATAGCTGGAAATGATCACACTGGACAAGAACTGAGTGTTAAAAGTAGGTGAAGAGATATACATGATAACCTTTCAGTATCTGTATTGCAAAAGGAGAAGAGAGAGAGATAGAGAGAAAGAGAGAGAGAGAGAAAGAGAGAGAGGGAGAGAGAGAGAGAAAGTGCAGGCAAGTGGGGGAAGGGGTGATGGGAGGGAACCTGGGGACACCGGTGCTGGGAAATGTACATTGGTGGAGGGATGGGTGTTGGAACACTGTATGACTGAAACCTAATCATGAACAGCTTTCACAGTGATTCAATTAAAAAAAATCTTTAGTAAAATACAATGCCAGTGAATAAAGGGAATTTTATAATCATTAAAAAAAATTAAAACTAAAATGAAAAGCCCAAGGGTGCACACATTTATCAGAACTCAACGGGACCCTTACCATTGAAATTTGTCATGATTTAAAAAAAAAAAAGCGCAAGACTCATCTACATGCTTGTGTGTGGGGGGGGGGGCCATCGCTCCTGCACACACACACCCCTCGCCCCCCGCCCCCTAGACTGAGTAAAGAGGGGCAGCTTTGGGGCGTGAGAACAGCTGACAAGCATCCCGCATCCCCGACCACACCACGCTGCCTCTGAGGCTAAGCTGCACTGGAATCCTGAGCCCCGCGCGCGGCTTTTCTCTGTTCCCGAAGAGAGCAGGTGCCGGGTGGGCCCTGGGCCGGGCGCCGAGGCCATGCCTCGTTCCAAGATGATTGCACACGCTAACTGGGGGTCCCTATGCGGCTGGGAGCCGGGGGTGGGGGGGTGGGGGGGGTAGGGCCGGGGAGGGGAGGGCGCGCGCGTGTGAGCGAAGGGGGCGGAGCGCCCTCTTCTGGCCCGGGGAGGGTCCATCCCGCCCCGCCCCCTGGAGCACCCACTCCGGGGGGGGGGGGGGCTGCAGCCCGCGGGCTGAGCCGGCCGGGGGCTGTGCGGCGGGGGTCCGGCTCCGGGAAATCGGGGGCCCGGCAGCCGCTGGGCCCCACCTGTTGCGGCGCCGGAGCGCGCGGGCCGGGCCCGGGCGGAGAGGGGCGCGGTGGGCACGGACCCCGATCGCGCGGCGCGGAGAGGGGGCTCCCCGGGGTGGTGGCGACGGGGTGAGTGGGGACTGAGGCCCGAGCGCCGCCGCCCGCGCCGGGAAGGTGGGTTTCCCGGAGGCGGGGGGGTGCGGGGGACGCGGGTGGACTGGGGGAGGGCATCGCACGGGGTGCGGAGGAGCGCAGCCGAGCCCACATGGAGGGCCTGGCACGCTCGGGGGTCGCCGTGCACTCGCTCCGGCCCCGCGGGCCTGGCTGGCCTGAGGCGGAGCCCAGGCTGGAGCCGACACGTGGGGGCGGAAGACGCCCACGCGTGGGACCCCGGGGCCGGGAACGTTCCGGTCCGGGGAAGGCGAGGGAGCCGGCCGGGGGCGGCCAACTTCCTTTGCTCGAGCCAACTCCCTCTCGGCTCTCGTCCTTGCAGCGCGCCCGCAGGGAGGTCGGATCCCGGGCGGGGGGAGCGCAGCGTGGCACAGACCCCCCACCCCGATCCCTGGGTCGCCCTTTCCCGCCTCTCGGCTTGGGGAACCCGGATCGGGGACCCGGGAGGCCGCTGCGGCCAGAAGACCCCCCCTCTCCCAGCCTGCGAGACCCCGCGCCCCTGCGTCCGCTCTCCGCCTGGAAGCGCCAAGATCCCCAAGACGGAGACCTCGGGGGTGCCCCCCGGACGTGGGCCGGGGAGGAGAGTCGAATCGGCCCGGGTTGGCCTTGAACACGCCGCCACGCCCCCTCCTGCCCTGGCCACGCGGGGCAGGGCGTGGGCTCGGAGCGGGCTCGGCAGCCGGGCGCGCAGCAGACGCCGGCTGGGCGCGCGGCCCCTCGGACCCGCCGGTGCTCCGGAGCCCCCCGCGGCGGCCGAGATGACGGCGCCCCCGCGGAGGTGAAAGTCGGGGGCCGAGGAGAGGTGGACGCAGGGAGCCGGCGCGCCCCGATCGGCGTCGTTGGCGGCGTTGGCGGCGGCGTTGGCCCGGGGAGCTGCCCAACGGGCATGGGCACGGCGGGCGCCGCGCGTCCCGGGGCCGGCTGAGCTGAGCGCTGCGCCCCGCGCCCCGCGCCCCGCGCCCTGCGCCCCGCGCCCGCCGGGGAGGGCACCCTCGAGGGGTCGGGCCATGGCCGGCCGGGGCTGCGGCGGCTGCTGCTGCCCGGGCCACCTGAACGAGGACAACGCGCGCTGCCTGCTGCTGGCCGCGCTCCTCGCGCTCTACCTGCTGGGCGGCGCCGCCGTGTTCTCGGCGCTGGAGCGCGCGCCCGAGCGCCAGGCCAAGCAGCGCTGGGAGGGTCGCCTGGCCAACTTCAGCCGCAGCCACAACGTGAGCCGCGAGCAGCTGCGCGCCTTCCTGCGCCACTACGAGGAGGCCGCCGAGGCCGGCATCCGCGTGGACAGCGTGCGGCCGCGCTGGGACTTCACGGGCGCCTTCTACTTCGTGGGCACCGTCGTGACCACCATAGGTGAGCGGGGGATCCGGCGGGAGCGGCGCGGGTCCGACTCGCTTTTCTCAGCCTGGGGTGGAGAGAGGGATACCCCACTAACCCGCCACACACACACACACACACACACACACACACACACACAGACACACACACCACTGCTCCGCGCAGAGGGGCCGATCCACAGGTGCCCGTGCGCGGTGCTTCTCTGCAAGTGCTCGGACCGGTGCCTCCTCCGCGTTCCCCAGCCCCTGCCTGCTGGAAAAGTCTCACACACTCCGCTTCCCAAAGCCTACCCCCATCCCAGCCCACCACCTGCTTAGCTGGGCCTTAATTTGGAGATAACTCTGCTCTCGGAGCGTCTCCGGGAGGCCAGGGCTTGAGTTTGCGGGATGCTAGGTGGGATAAAAAGGCTTGAAAACGCCAGAGGAACCTACCACCGTGTGTGAGCTCCGTTACCGACACCCTCCAGCACCCTCTGCGTGCAGAAGGCGCAACTCCCAGCCGGCTTGAGGAGCGGGTTTCAGATCTGCAGAGAGAAAGTTAGACAGCGACTTGGCAGTCAGGAGGCAGAGGGACTCCAGACTGGAAACTGCCACCAGGAGGGGTTGGGGGGTGGGGAGGAACTTCGGGCTGGAGGTTAGCTGCTAGGTCTGGTTTGGGTTTGGAAACTGAAGTGCTTTGCGCTCTGGAGAAGGGGCATGAGCTATCCAGAGTTTTGTTTGTTTTTGGTTTTGGGGGGGTCACACCCAGCGATGCACAGGGATTACTCCTGGCTTTGCACTCAGGAATTACTCCTGGCGGTGCTCAGGGGACCATATGGGATGCTGGGAATCGAACCCAATTTGGCTGCGTGCAAGGCAAACGCCTTACCTGCTGTACTATTGCTCCAGCCCCTACCCAGAGTTGTTGAAAGGCCCTAGTGGCTCCAGACAGTGAGACGGGGAGCCCGGCTGTCTCCAGGTGCTGGCCACCAGTGAGTTTGTGAGCGGGAGTAAGCCAGGGCCCCCAGAACCCCCTTTATTCTTGCAGACAGAGGTGGGGTGTCCATGCTTCACAGTCCTGTTTGCCCCAGGAGCATGCGGGGCCCAGGGGAGAGGTGGAAATTCTGAGGAAAGCAGAGAGTTAGTACAGGGGAGGGGGCTAGAAGCACCCCCAGAAGAGAGCAGCCCCCAGCGGCTCCAGTCAGTGCCAGGAGCAGCAAGACTTGGGGGTGGGGGCCGGGAGCACTTGCCCTGCACCCAAATCCCCCTGTGTCCAGAACTGTTCAGGGAGGAGGGTCATGAGGTCAGTTTTTCAGGCCTCCTGCGTGAGGAAGGCGCTATCAGAAGGAACCCAATGCGGGGAGGGTGGGTCAGGGCCGGAATGTCCAAGACACACTCCCCAAGGCTAGGTTAGAGGCGAAGGACAGAGAGTGAGGGACACACAGACCAGTATCCCCACCTCACCGCAGTGGCCCAGCCTTCCAGCACAGTGTCACGGTACAGTGTCTACTGGGGCCTAAGCAGGTTGGGGGTGGGGGGGAGTCATACCTGCCCAGGTTCTGCCTTTTCCCGAGACACTCAGGATTGGGCCCCAGAGCCCCGGAGGTGGGGGTTGGTGGAGAGGTGTGGAAGGGAAACACTGCCTGTTTGCAGAACAAGTGCAGGAGGCTTATTTGGATGGATCTTCCTGGGCTTTGGAGGGAGATTGGGGTAGTGGTTAAACCCCCCACACCACAAGATCCCCCTGGGTAAGCCCCATGGGCAGGAGAGAGCTCTAGGAATGCCTCCAGCATGTCAGAAGCAGGTGGGCAGGAAGGGGAGAAAGTGGAGTGGGTAGAAGCCCCCAAGAGGCTGGGCTGGGGGGGCGCTGCAGGGGTCTCACTTACTTGGCCACATTTGTGCTTTGTTTGGCTTTTGTGTTTCTTGGGTTGGGAGCGGGGGTCACACCTGGTGGAACCCAGGAGCTACTGCCAGCTCTATGCATGAGAGTCACTTCCAGCACTGCCTGAAGGGACCTTGTATGGCTGGGTAGGGACCCAAGCGGGGCGTTCCACATGCTTCCGCTCGGCCAACTTTTTAATGTTCCGAGGCCACCTCAGCTGAGACGTCTGTGACGCGCCCACCTTAGTGTCTGGCTGCCTCGCCAGTCCTGTCTTCTGCCTACGTCCTCCCCGGAATCCTGTCCCCCGTTCCGAGTTCGCAGAGGATCACTGAGCCCAGGCATAGGAATGTCCTTTAAAAAGTACAAAGGCTGCTTTTCCTTCCTGCTTTCCAGCGCTTTCTTTTAAATGGTCTGATTCACTGCTGTCCCCTTCTCGGGCACCAATCAGGGACAGGCTGTGATTAATTAAGTGATGATTGTTTGAAGCAGCTCATTGCTACCTTTCAGTTGCTGCCACTCCTTGAAATAGGTGTGAATATTTCTCTTTCTTAGAGGAGGAAATTAAGCGTCATGTTCTTTGTAACAGTGTGAAGATGAAAGCTACACCTTTACCCCAAGCTGACCAATGTTAATATTTTGGTGCATTTCTTGCTACCTTTTTCCTTTGAATATAGTTACGTGTGTATGTATTTCCAAAATGGAGAAAAGTATCCTATAGACAATATTTTGTATATTTAAATTCAATTTGTTTTGAGTCACCAGGAGATTCACAGTTACAAAGCTGATTGAGGTTGCATTTCAGTCGTACAGTATGCCAACACCCATCCCTCCACCAGTGTGCATTTTTCCCACCACCAATGTCCCCAGTTTCCCTTCATCACCCTATCCCCAGCCTGTCTCTATGGCAGGCACTTTCCTTCTCTTTCTCTCTGTCTCTCTTTCTCTCCCCTTTGGGGCATTATGGTTTGCAATACAGGTACTCAGAGGTTATCATGTTTATTCCTTTACAAATTAAAATTTTGTATTTTTTTTCTTTTTGAGTCACACCCAGCGATACACAGGGGTTACTCCTGGCTCATACACTCAGGAATTACTCCTGGTGATGCTCAGGGAACCGTATGGGATGCTGGGAAACGAACCCGGGTTGGCCGCGTGCAAAGCAAACGCCCTGTTCGCTGTGCTATCAACTCCAGCCCCCAAATTTTGTATTTTAATCGTGACACTGCATGCTAGCATTTCTTCTAAAACCCCAAATTAGTTGCACTATTCTTTGTTCTACGTGGGAGTCTCAGACAACAACAAGAAAAGCATATGGTAAATAATCACCACATACAAATCAAACTTCAGAACCAGGGAGAAGAAGAACAGAAATACGGAGAGAAACTGATCCCGGAAGTTGCTGGAGAGTCTTGTTGAGCTGCAGCTGAAGCGGTGATGGCACAGGATGGGAATTTGAATGAATGCAAGTGGCTGACAAGAGGGGAACAGGGGTATGAAGCAGGAAGCGGCACAAGAAAAGGAGATAAGTCCAGGTGTGCTGTGAGGCGGAAACCATCGTATTTGCAGTTCAGTTGGTGCCCAGAGGTACCAACTCCATCCCCAGTGGAAGCTTGAAGTCTGTGCAAAGCTCATGACCCTGAGGAAGTCCAGGCAAGGGAGCAGGCTTGGTGGAAGTCAGAGCAGGTGTGCACCAGCTGAAGCACCTGACTCTGGGCTTGCTCATCACTGTGATCCCCAAGTGCCCCTCCTAACCCCAGCACATCCGCTGCGGATGACCTCACATCCTGTTTGCACAGAGGCTCAGGCCCAGGGCATAGGCCAGTCACAAACTCCCCCCCCAAAAGTCTGAGAGACTAGGGAGAGGGCTCCATGGGCGGGAGCAGGAACTCTGTATGAAGAAGCCCCCAGATCGATGGCACCCCAAGCATCGCCAGGATTGGCCACTCTATTCAGACCGCTTATCGGCGTACTTTCCATCATTCTTGCTTCTCACAAGCCTCTTTTAGAATCAGTACTCTGCCCTGAGTTTTTAAATGGTGGCGAAGTGGACATAAAGGTTTCCCCTGCTATATGATAATACAAGGGACCTGGGGTGTTTATATACCCATATCACTCAGGAATGTATTAAATCTGCTTGTGAATACGGGAGAACAGAGGATTATAATGTGGGTTTTTTTAAAATTTCGGCTTGCTCAAAGTTACTCCTGGCGCTGTGCTCAGAGGTCATTCCTGGCGGTGCTTGGGGGATCTTATGGATCTCCAGGAATCGAACCAGGGTCAACTGTGTGCAAGGCAAGTGCCTTACCTGCTGTACCATCTCTCCAGCCTCATATTGTGGGATTTAACTGTGTTTTAGAGGGAAGGGGTCATACCAGGTGTTGCTCGGGAGCTACACCTGGACTATAGCAGTGCTCGGGGTCACATCCAGCAGTATTCAGGGGGACCATGAGCTGCTGGAGAGTGAATCTGGTCTTCCTGCAAAGCAAAATCATCCTGGACTAAGCAAAGCATGTACTCATCTCCTCGAGCTGTCTTCCAGCAAGAGGAAATTAATTCCCAGGCACTTCTGGGCTGGGTTTGTGTTTGTTTGTCTGTTGTTGTTTTACAGTGTAAAGGTGTTCTTCTGATGAGGTGTTCTGTTCTTCAGACCAGAGAGCCCAGAAATGAGTTCAGCAGCATCGTGTTGTGGGCAAAACATGTCTACTGGTATGGTTTCACTTTAGATTTGGTTTCAAGGCTCATGTCAGAGAGTTGTAGAGCCAGAGAGCTGGTCAGGAAGAAGTTAAGAGGTGTTTGAGTAGCATATGGCTGCAGATGCAGCCCTGGTTCAAATCCTGACACAGCTTAGGGTTCTCTGAGCACCACCAGGCATGGCCTCTAAGCAGCATCTGGTATGAGAGAAAAAAAGAGAGAGAGAGAGGAGGGAGGAAGGAGAGAGCCCAGCATCATTGAACAGTGAGAGTTATTCTCTGTCCTGGAGAAATTCAAGAGGTTTTATGCACCTGTTGTCTGAGACCTTTGATTTAAAAGTCACCAGAGCGGAAAACGGTTTGGCAGCATCTCAAAAGGTTGAACACAGAATTCTCATATGGCCCAGCAAGTCCACACTGAGGGTACACAGAAGAATGGAAATCAGACTTGTCTGTCGCACGATT